TATATATATATATATATTTCAACTAAATGAAAACACAAGCACAACATTAAAACTTACAGGATAAGCTAAAACAAAGCTTAGAGGGAAATTTATTGCCTTAAATATCTGTATCAAAAAAGAAAAAAGATATCAAATTAATATTCTAGACTTCCATCATAAGAAAATACAAATAGACAAATTAAACCCAAAGCAAGCAAAACAGTTAAAAAATATAAAAAGCTAAAATGAAAACCAATGAAATAGAAAGCAGAAAAAGAACAGAGAAAATCAAACAATACCAGAGTTAGTTCTTTGAAATGGTCAACACTGATGACAAATGCCTAGCTAGACTGGTCAGTAAGAGACTACAAATTACACAAATATTACAATACTTGGTCAGGATGTGGACAAAGCGTTCCCCTTTTGCATTGTTGGTGGGAATGTAAACTGGTGCAGCTACTCTGGAGAACAGTATGGAGGTTCCTCAAAAAATTAAAATAGAGCTACCTACAACCCAGCAACTGCACTACTAGGTATTTATCCAAAGGATACAAAAATGCTGATTCAAAGGAGCACATGCACCCCTATGTTTATAGCAGCACTATAATAGTGGTAGATAGCAGCACTATAGCCAATAGCCAATAGCACAATAGCCAAATTGTGGAAGGAGCCAAAATGTCCACTGATTCATGAATGGATAAAGAAGATGTGCTGTGCGTGTGTGTGTGTGTGTGTGTGCGCGCGCACACACACACACACACACACTCTATTTGGCACTTTACATTTCTCTTCCGTAAAGTGAGATGTTTATTCTGAGATGTTTCTGAGATGTTTATTTTGAGGCTGAGCCCACTTTTATTTTTTTGTTTTATAGTTTTATCATCATTGCTAAAGTAAAGGAACAAAGAAATTTAATATGCCTTTTGACTGGTAATCTTTCATCTATATTTTTATCTTATACTCCCAGTAAGTAAAGTCCAGTATTCTTTATATTGTTTTTACTAAAAACTAAACCATAAATTCATTTGAAATAATGACCAGCCCATTAAAGAGCATTATCATTTATGTCATATGTCAAATACATATTTCAATTACTTACCAATACTATGAAACTGCCATCGCTGATGAATTCTTTCTGGAAGAAGTTGTAAAATTTTCTAAAAATCAGTATGAATAAAACAAAGAAAAGAATGAAAAGCAAGTAATGAGTCCACATTCTGTGCAATGTGAAAAATTAAACAAAGAGCTTATAATAAGCTTTTAAGAGTTTCTTATGTAAAAGATAGCATCACAAACACAAAACAGTATTTGAACTGATCTGACAGTACTTGCACTATTTCAGCACTGGTCATCAATATTTGAAAACACCAAAAAAACCCAACAAGCTATGCTAAGACGTGGAACAAGACATTAATGAAATTTATCTTTACAATGACGTGGAAAGTAAATATATTTCTCCTTACTGATTAAATACTTTCTCAAACATTTTTCAAAATGATCATTTACTATTCTTAGAATTTCTCTATTATGGCTATTTCTGATAAGTTTTAAATTCTTTCAGATATTAATATTAGTGACATTTTATCTCTGTGTAGTTCTTCCTATTTTTATAAAAGTAGGAGAAATATTTGGATTTCATAAAAATCAAATCAGTATTTATACTGTATTAAGTATTTGTACTGCGTTGATTCATGTGAACCCAAAAGTATTATATGTTATGATGGCTATAGGTATAATAACAATACTTAAAAATTCAGGATCCCTACATTTAAGCCAACACAGGCTTCTATCAATTGGGAATAAACACTTTTTACATATAATTCAAAATTTTACCTTTAATTCCCTTCACAAATTTCTTCTGTGTGAATTATTCTAGTTCAACAGCTTGCCTTACTATGCTGCTAAACTATGTTCTCAGTACTCATCCGCTTGCTGAATGAGTTTTGTATGTGTCTGTTGTTATTGCTGCTCTTACTACTATTATTATTTAGAAATTCCACTAACCAAATGTTCATAGTGGCCAAAGAGTAGACATTTTATATAATGATATCTCATCAAACCTCACAACCATCCTAAAAAAAGTTTATTAATCTCATTTGAAAAATGAGAAAATGGGCTAAGTAATGTGTTTAAGTTAGAAAGTGGAATTAATTCCAGGGGTGCCTGCATGGCTCAGTTGGTTAAACACTGGACTTTGGCTCAGGTCACGACCTCACGGTTCGTGAGTTGAAGCCCCACGTTGGGCTCTATGCTGACAGCTCAGAGCCCACAGCCTGCTTCAGATTCTGTTTCCCTTTCTCTCTGCCCCTCCCCAGCTTGTGCTCTGTCTCTCTCTCTCAAAAATAAATGTTAAAAAAAAATTTTAATAAATAAATTTTAAAAAGTAAAAAATCAAAAAGAAAGTGGAACTAATTTCAACCTTAATATGCCTAATTCTAAAATGTGTACTTTTGTATTCTGCCCAAAATACAGTATGCATGTTTTACACTTCTATCTTCCATTTAATATGATCTTCTTTAGTCCATCTCATACAAGAGGATCATGAGAAATTATAAAGTTCTTTACAGATAAATGCTGGTCCCACATGAGATACACAAACTTCTTTGCCTTTGCCCTCCTCATATTTCTCTGGCCAACAATTACATAATTCTATTTATTTTGGTATGGAAAGAAATGAAATTTAAGTTGAGAAGGTTTATAAACTACTCAAAAGGATTCCTAAATTATGACCATTATACTTTATATTAAAAAAATTTTTTTTAATATTTATTTTTGAGAGAGAGAACATGAGTGGGGAAAGGACAGAGAGAGAGGGAGACACAGAATCCGAAGCAAGCTCCAGGCTCTAAGCTGTCAACACAGAGCCCGACGCAGGGCTCAAACTCAGGAACCATGAGATCATAACCTGAGCCGAAATCGGATGCTTAACCAACTGAGCCATCCAGGTGCGCCTATTATACTTCAGATTTGACCCCTTATAAAATGTAAATAAACATGTCTTTTTTTTAATCTTTTTTAACGTTTATTCATTTTTGAGAGACAGACCGTGAATGGGGGCAGAGAGAGAGAGGCAGACACAGAATCCAAAGCAGGTTCCAGGCTCTGAGTTGTCAGCACAGAGCCCAACACAGGGCTCGAACTCACGAACCATGAGATCATGACCTCAGCCAAAGTCAGATGCTTAACCAACTGAGCCACCCAGGCACCCCAACATGTCTTATTTTTATGCGGTTAATATAAAGATGAAAGAAAGAAACCATGTGTAGTTTTAACAGAAGAAAACAGATTATGAATCCCAGATCATATTTTTAACACTACATAATGGTGCTTTTCATTCCAAAAAGAGGAAATCAGTTAATTTATAATTCTTAATTTTTAAAAATCATTATTAGTCTCCAAGGTAGAGGTCAGGTATTATTATTCCCATTACAAGGAGCAAAACATAAGCACACAGGTTAAATATTTTTTCCAAAAGATGGAAAACCTATATCTAACTTCTTTATATTGTAAGAAAATTTAGTCATTCATTAAAGACAAACCATTGATCAGTATGTATTTACATACAGGAAAATAAACATTGTTTTTTAATAGAAGGAATGCCCTAAAAGATCTTCTATGAACTAATCAATCCATCTCAGTTTCCTGAACAGGGGCAATCATGAATGTCTAAAGGAACATTTTCCAGAAATTACTAACTTGCTTTCTCTGCTGATACTTTTTTTTTAACTTCTTTTCAATCCTCATGTTTAAAAAATTTTTTTTTCAACTTTTTTTATTTATTTATGGGACAGACAGAGACAGAGCATGAACAGGGGAGGGGCAGAGAGAGAGGGAGACACAGAATCGGAAACAGGCTCCAGGCTCCGAGCCATCAGCCCAGAGCCTGACGCGGGGCTCGAACTCACGGACCGTGAGATCGTGACCTGGCTGAAGTCGGACGCTTAACCGACTGTGCCACCCAGGCGCCCCTCAATCTTCATGTTTTAAAATGTTTGTTTGTTTATTTTGACAGAAAGAGTGCATGCATGGGGGAGGGACAGAGAAAAAGAGAGAGAGAGAATCCCAAGCAGGCTCCATGCTGTCAGCACAGAGCCCAACACTAGGCTCAATCTTAGGAATGATGAGATTGTGACCTGAGCCAAAATCAAGAGTTGGACATTTAACCAAGGGAGCCACCCAGGCATCCCAATCCCGATGCCTTTTATTTCCTTCTCTTGCCTGATTGCCGTGGCTAGAACCAAGTACAATATTCAATAGAAATGGCAAGAGTAGACACCCCTCTTTTGTTACTAATGTTAAGAAAGAGGTACTCCGTACCTAGCATAAGGTATGGTCTTAGCTGTGTATTTTTGTAGGTGTCCTATATCAAGTGGACAAAGTTTCCTTTTATTCCCATTTTGTTAGGTGTTTTATGATGAAAAAGTACTGGGAGTTTGCCAAATGCTTTTTCTGTATTTATTGATATGACATGTATTTTTTTGTCTTTTATTCTATTATTACTGTATGTTAGTTGGTTTATTTTCAGATGCTAAACTTTGTAATACTTAGATAAACCCCATTTGGTCATGTTGTATAATCCTTTTTTATATGTATTTTGATTTCATTTACCTTTTTTTGAGGATTTTTTGTGCCAATACTCATGAAAATATTTTATTATATTTTAATAATAAAATATAATAAATTTATATTATTATAGTTTTCTTTCTTTGTAATGTTTTTGTCTGGTTTTGGTTGCATAACACTGGCTTCACAGAATGAATTATGAAATATCACCTCTTTTTTATTAATTAAAGAATCTGTGAAGAACTCATATACTTCTTTAAATGTCTGGTTTAAATTCACTACTAAAGTCATCTGGGTCTGGGCTTTTCTTGGTGAGAATTTATTTACATATGAATTCATTTTTTCACTTGTAAGTCTTTCCAGTTTTCTATTTCTTTCTGAATCAATTCACTGCTTTTATCTTTACAGGAACTTGTCCATTTAAATGTATCACGTTTGTTGGCATTCAGTTGGTCACAGTATTCTCTTATAATCCTTACAATTTCTATAAGGTGGGTAGTATTCCTTTTTAATTCCTGAATTTAATAATTTAATTCTTCACTCTTTTTAGTCAGTATGGCTAAATATTATTAGTTTTCCTGATCTTTCAATGTTCTGACTTTTAGGTCTATTGGTATTCTCCAGTTTTTAAAACTTTCTTCCATTTATTTTTGCTATAATCTTTTTTTTTTTTAATGTTTATTTTTGAGAGTGAGACAAGAGCATGAGTAAGGGACGGGCAGCAAGAGAGTGAGACACAGAATCCAAAGCAGGCTCCAGGCTATCAGCACAGAGCCCGAGGCAGGGCTTGAACTCACAAACTGCAAAATCATGACTCAAGCCGAAGTTGGATGCTTAACTGACTGAGCCACCCAGGCACCCCTATTTTTACTATAATTTTAACTATGTTCTTCATATGCTTTCTTTGGGTTTTAATTTGATCTTCTTTTTTCAGTTTCTTAGTGGAAACTTAGGTAACTGATGTGACATCATTCTTCCTTCTATCATATTAAGTTATATAACTATAAATTTCCCTCTGAATGCTTGGTTAGCTATATTCCCTAAGTTTTGGTATGTCATAACTATGAGCCATTGATTATTTGGGGGTGTGTTCACTAATTTCCACATATTTATGAATTTACAAAATTTCCTTGTTGTTGATTTCCTCATTTAATTCCATATTGATAAGAGAACATAGTCTAAATGATTTCTGCTGATGCTTTTATTCTTTCTCAAAATATCTATGTTTTAATATTCCCCTTGTAAATAGTCCATGCAAACACCTGGGGAGATAAACATAAGCAAATTCCTAAACGCTGATTATTGAAAAATAACTGCAAAATAGGTACCAACACCAATTACTCCCATCTGGAACTCTTAAAAAAAAAAAAAACAAAAAAAAACAACTTTTTTTTTTAGCTGTGACTAAATCAATAACTAAATCAACAGCTAAGAAATATCAGATTGTTCAAATTCTTCTAAACTGTATCAAGTACTCAAAATACAAAACAGTGAATTATCTTTTATTACGAACAGACAAAATAGCTCAAATTTTAGATACTGATTTCCCAATTCTTTACTGTCCTTGAAGTCACAAGATTGAATCATGGCTTTCTCCAGATATCTGAATTTTCAATAAAGATCAGAATACTCCTATCACTGCTTGACTTGAAAGACAGAATGAAGAGGCAAGGAGTTATTTTAAAAGTAAGGGGACTGTAGGGGCACTCAGGTGGCTTGGTTGGTTAGGCGTCCAACTTCAGCTCAGGTCATGATCTACAGTTTGTGGGTTCGAGTCCTGGGTCAGGTTCTATGCTGACAGCTTGGAGCCTGGAGCCTGCTTCCGATTCTGTGTCTCCCTCTCTCTCTGTCCCTTCCCCGCTAATGCTGTGTCTCTCTTTCTCTCTCTCAAAAATAAATAAACATTTAAAAAAATAATAAATAAATAAAAGTGAGGGAACCCTAATTTTTATCAGGATGCCAAAAATAAAATATAAATTTTAGCAAAGCATCAAATATTACTAATTCCTTCTATTTTTAACAATAAAGGCTTGCCCCAACCCAATCCAAAGTTACACAGAAAAATAATTTATAAAACCATTATCTTATAGTATTACCAAGTTTGTGGTGTCAAATGCATAAAAACATAATTCTATTTCTACCTAAAAAAAAATACATGTATCTCAAAAAATAAGAATTAAGTCGGGTATATTTTTAGGTCAAAAAAACATGATTCAGTTTTTAGAAAGCGTGGCAAATTCAGTCTTCTGTTACATGCTTTATAGTTTCAATATATTCCTTTGTAAGTTCCAGGAATTATTTGGGGGGGGGGGGGGAATAGTTGATGGGCAGATACTTACCTCAAAAATAAAAAGTATAGCATCCAATTCCTCCCTCTGAGATTTGTGACCTAAAATATATTTACAGAAAAATGTGTTAAACATTATCATTTTATCCTATTACCACCACTTAAAAAGCTTAAAATATTTCAAGCATTATTTTCTCAGTGATTCTTTAATAAAATATTTAAAGCATATTCTGTTCGATGTATAAACAATACTATAGCATCTCTCTCTACTCTTTTTCAACAATTTAGATTCTACATATTTATATCTTAAAACAAATAATATATTGTGGAGAACTCAGAATTCTGAAAATGAAAGTATGAGAATGACTGCTCAATTTACATATGCACCTAAGAGCAAAGCAAAGAAGGTAAGGAAACAGGTAAATCAATCCGACCAGGGGAAAGCAAATCTTCTAAGCCTTTTCAAAGGAATGAAGATAGTACTACCAACCCAAAGTGTGAGAGGGTGTCTAAAAGATGTTTTACAAAAAGAAGTGAAAAAACACCAAAATTCCAATGTCCAAGAGTCGATTTTTAAGTGAATATTTAAGATAATTATTTGAAACATCAACATAAGCCAGGACCAATTTTAACATCTTACCTTTCTGTTTCAGACTAGCTTCAATAGTCACAAAATTCTCAAAGAACACATAATATATATGTGAAAAATGTTGGTCAAAAAACTGTTTAAGATCTATAGACTCTGCATTCTCTGAAAAGGAAAGGAAACCAGTTTTTAGTGATTACATATATATGTTAAATCACATTCAGTTAAAGAGTCACAGTGGCAAATTTCCTTCAAAAAAGTCAAAGAACTGCTCCTAAAATTCTATCATATTAAAATATTTGAGATATTCATTGATTTATATTCTTGTTCTCACAACTTTAGTCTTCAAAGATTTTAGTTTTAATTTTAAAAACAGGTCAAATCAAGTTACCATAACCTTTGTTTCCAAAAAAAAAAAAAAAAAAAAAAAAAAAAAACCCAAAAAACAAAAAAACAAAAAGTCTCAGAAAGATTTATTCAAAATTTATTTTGGATATTTAGCTAAACCAAAAAAAGAAGTTTTAGTTTCAATTCATAGCTATGCCTCTCCCAACTTATCCCCAAGACAGTTTAAAATCAGTATTTCTAGGAGTAATTATATATTTTATAAAACACATTTATTCAGCAAATAGGTACCTAACAACAGGCTTTATAAATAGGCACTTAATTATTACAAAGCTCAAATACAGATAATATTGCTCTAAGGGATCTTCCGTATAGTCCAGGGCACACAAAGCCAAACATATAACTATATGCACAGTACAAAGTATTACATATTGAAAGTGAAGTGACAAAATGCAATGGCAATTTAGAAACACAAAATTACTTTCAAAGCTAAAAGAGAGGTGAAGGTAGGGAAAGAAGAAAAGCTTAATAGATTATATGAAAAGACTTTTAAAGACAGGAAAAACTTTGAACATGAACTGGTGAGGTTTAATGAGAAGGGCATTCTAGGCATAAGCAAAGACAAACAAGTGAGGAAACTATGAAGCATGATAGGATGCATAAAAATAATTCATTTTAGCTACAGCTTAGAATGTTTTGATAAAAATAAAATTGAAAAACTAGCCTTGAAGTATGTTTTAAAATGTCTTGAAAACTAAAGTGACTGAATTTATTATTCAAAGGAATATATCTATGCAGATGTATACATACTACACATTTTGTTGTTTAGTTTATTTTCTGGGAGATTGAGAAGGTTGAAGAAAAAGGGGAATACAGAACTTTTACCTTACGTATATGCTTCCCATTATTCAACTTTGCTTGCAAAAAGCACATGTTTATTTTATAATGAAAAATAAATATAAAAAAGGCAACTAGAAAAAAGTCAATCGTTAATAAACTCAAATTAAAGGTAAATATCAGTAAATTTCTTGAAATGCTTTAAGGAGCAATAGAAGATTTCAGAATAAAATTACATAGTAACAACATACAGCATTTTAAACTCTCTTTCATGTATTAGCTTACCCTGTGAATAGTCATAATTCTTTAGTGACCTCTCATCTATGGAATTTTCTAAGACTGTTACCCCTTTGCTCTACTCTCACAAAAGAAGGGGTGGATGCCCTCTCTATTCCCTTGGATTCTCTACATTTCTACCTTATGGAAATCACATGTTTTAAGTGTTTTCTTGTCTTCTTTCCAGGACTAGTCTACAGCTTCTTTAGAATAGAAATTGTGTCTATCTTAGCATTCCCAAAACCTAACACAGTACTCAGCACATATGTATTCAGATGTGTTTTACTACTGATTAAAATAAGTTATTTTAATTTTATTATATTCATTTATTAGCTTGGAAATTTTTATATTAGAAAAGACTGCATAACCTACTGACAGGCAAAACATTGCTTCCTCTAGACTGGAATCAGAAAACCCAGATTCAACTCCTATCTGTAACAATACCTGTGTGACTTTTCACAGAACTAGAAAAACAAAATGGCTAATAAAAACTGAATGTTTCCTATATGCTAGACTCTCTTTTAAGTGCCTTACAGAAATTAATTCCTATAATCCTCACAACAACACTATGAAATGAGTACTATTATTTCTGTAAATAGGATATTATCCCTATTTTACAGACGAGGAAACAGGCATAGAGAGTTTAAGTAATTCAGCTAGTAGGAAGCAGAGACAGGGATTTAAATCCTACACAGCCTGGATCTAGTGCCCATGCTCTTAATCTCTATGTTATTCAGCCTCCAATGTAATACATATATAAGAAAATTAGGAATAGAACACCAGTAATTTATTATCTGCCTATAAGAACAAGATCCATCAAATAATAAACACATTTTACAAACTTTCAAAATAAAAACATACACAACTGAGAAAAACAGGAAAAGTATTCTATTTTTCCCACACAATAGTTTAGAGTAACAAAGAACTATGAGATCAAAATAAAATAGGCTACTATAATTAGCTCTCCATTTCCTGAAAGTAATGTTTCAAACGTAACTAATGTTCCAGGGGAAAGAAGAAAATGAGAGAACAATAACAAAGCAAAACAAAAAAATCAAAACAAAAGCAAACATGAATCAACTCAAGATTTTACAAGCTTATTTAGGAGCCAAGACGACTTCTCTTAATTTCCTTTTCATACAGCATGTGAGGAAAACCTGGAAATTACATACTTACTAATAAAAGATACTGGATCAAAATTAGGCTAATTTCCTTGTTGGGCTTTTTTTTTTTTTTGCTTTGTTTTTCTCTATATCTATTTGTAATGAACCAGTCAGCAAATAAAAACTGTTTTACAAAATATTTTTGATCACCAATTCACAAAATTTACATGGTGGGGGAAAACAGGGTAAGAAATAAAAAAAATAAAGAGAGAGGAGGGAGAGATTAAAAACACACAAACAGGTGATGCCCGGGTGGTTCAGGCAGTTAAGTGTCCAACTCTTGATTTCAGCTCAGGTCATGATCTCACATCATGAGATTGAGCCTCACGTCAGGCTCTACACTGATAGTATGGAGCCTACTTAGGATTCTCTCTTATGCTCTCTCTCTGCAACCCCCCCCCCCCCCCCCCCCACCTCATGCTCATGCTCTCTTTCAAAAATAAATAAACTTTAAAACATGCACACACAAACAGGCTGGATAAATTATGAATAATACACTATTAGGCTCTAAACAAAAGTAGGGAGTATATGGGAAATGGAGAAGAAATTGAGAAAAGGGAAGAAGAGAAAAAAGGACAAAGGGAGGAAACTAAAAGGAATAAATTAGAAGACAGAACTGAAGCTATTCCTCAGAATATAATGCAAAAAATAGTAAGATGGAAAATATAAAGATAAGGATAACAAACTACCTTAAAAGTTCCAGGAAGGAAGAAAAAATGTAAACAATATTAAAAATATATATACCTGAGAAGATTTAAAATTGGTGAAATATGTAAGTAAATCTTAAGATGAAAAATGACATACTGAATCCCAAGCAGGATAAACACAAATCTACACATGGACACATCCTAACACCAAAAACAAAATGAAAATATTAAAACCAACAAAAATTACCTACATAGTAATATCAAAACTAACAGTACACTTCTCATTAACCTAATAGAGGCAGGAAGACAGTGCAACTTTATACTGAAAGAACTAAGGGAAAATAATTGCCAATCTAAAGTCCTATACTCAGCTAAAGTACTTCAAATAACATGAACACAAGGGACACCTGGATGGCTCAGTCGGTTAAGCACCCCACTGTTGATCTCAGCATAGGTCACAATCTCACAGTTCATGAATTTGAGCCTGGCATAGGGCTCCATGTTGACAATGTGGAGCCTGCTTGGGATTCCCTCTCTCGCCCCCCCCCCCCCCCCTCCCTCAAAATAAATGAACACATTTTTTAAAAAAGAAAACTATTAACAACCTGAACATGTAAATGAAGAAAAGGCATTTTCTAACATCCTTACAGTTTAACACTCAAAAACCATAACTCAGGGGTGCCTGGGTGGCTCAGTTGGTTGTGCATCTGACTTCAGCTCAGGTCATGATCTTGCAGTTTATGAGTTCGAGCCCCGCATCAGGCTCTGTGCTGACAGCTGGGAGCCTGGAGCCTGCTTCAGATTCTGTGTCTCCCTCTCTCTCTCCCCCTCCCCTGCTTGTGCTCTGTCTCTCTCTCTCTCAAAAATGAATAAATGTAAGAAAAAAAAATTTTTAAAAACCCTCATTCAAACTCAAAGAAATACAAGAGATATATTCTGAAAGAGAAATAAACTAACATTGGAGAGTGAAAAGCAAAAAGCAAAAATGAACAAAGAAACTGCAAAATGTATGGGTAAATCTAAATGGATACTAATGTTAAAAAAGCTACTAATGCAAAAGGTTACTAATTAGGAGAAAGTAAAAAAATAGACAATGTCAAAGATGCGACAAAAACGCTAGAGAGACTATTTTAAGATCTTACTTTGTTAAGAGGATGACAGAAATACTGATGAACTTTATAATTTAATATTAGTATGCTACTAAAATGTTTTGAGTTACCACTAAGAATAATAACAAAATATAAAACGTTTAACCATTAGGAGAAAAATATAGAAAAACTTATGGTAACAGAAATGAGTATAGAAAAGCACCCCAAAAAGATGAATGAAATGATAGAAATATAAATACAGTATTTACCAAAAAAAAGTTAATAAATTAAATGCTTCAACTAAGACACAGTTATAATCACACTGCATTTTAAAACAACCACAAAAATTAAGCTACAAGGTATTTATTAAGAAAAAAATTTTGGGGCGCCTGGGTGGCTTGGTCGGTTAAGCGTCTGACTTCAGCTCAGGTCATGATCTCACTGTCCGTGAGTTCGAGCCCCGCGTCGGGCTCTGGGCTGACAGCTCAGAGCCTGGAGCCTGTTTCAGATTCTGTGTCTCCCTCTCTCTCTGCTCCTCCCCTGTTCATGCTCGGTCTCTCTCTGTCTCAAAAATAAATAAACGTTAAAAAAAAAAAATTAAAAAAAAAAAAAGAAAAAAGTTTTACCCAAAATGATTAAAGGAATGAAATAAAAATATATTATTTAGACATTGACCAAAATACCATTGTTGATTCCTTGGTAAGAGTCAAAGTAAATATTAAGGCAAGAATTACTACAATTAAAGAGGATCACTGTATTTTGAAAAAAGGCTGTACCAGGAAGCTTTTAATTCCAAATTTGCATTAACA